GTCGGGCACCTTGCTCAGTGGGGAGTCTGATTCTCCCTCTCCCTCTGTGCTCTCTCTCTCTCTTGCTCTCTCTCAAGTAAATAAATTAAAAAACCTTAAAAAAAAAGAATTCTGATCACTGAGAGAAAAATATAAAAACTATGTAGCTATATAGTTGAAGGAATATTGAAGGAATGTATTCTAATTGTAGCAAACAAATTATGACACACTGAATAAAAACAACCGCTAAGTACAAGTGCTCTCCATCAGGAGACTTTCCCGTTTTAAGTGCTGCATAGTTGAACTTTTGGTTTTCATTCTTTCATAAACAAAACTTTTTTGAAACTTCCTCTCACCTGTTAGACTGGCTTTTAACTCTTCAGTCACAGGAACCCTAGTGTTTTGATAAATGAATCATCTTCCATTCATAAACAACCCTTTTAAAGTTTCTGTAGCTTTTGCCAGAGTATTTTTTTTAAAGATCTTATTTATTTATTTATTTATTTATTTATTTATTTATTTATTTGAGAGAGGGAGAGAGAGCACGAGTGGGGGCAGGGCCGGGGGGACAAACAGCCTCCCCGCTGAGAGCCCGACGCGGGTCTCCATCCCTCCACCCTGAGATCAGGACCGGAGCTGAAGTCAGATGCTTAACCAACTGAGCCACCCAGGCGCCCTTGCTCCAGTATTTTAAAAGAGCCCTTGTTTTTTGTATATTAACTTTTAAAAGCACTGTTAATAAATAATACAATTATACAATGTTTTCCTTCCACTTCTGGACCCTACTTTGAGGGCAGATACTTCAAGAAGATCCTAGTGCTTGCACCTTCTACCCTGTCCTCAGATCCTAGATGGCCCTCTGTTGCGGTTTTTGAGTTCACATCTTGGCATGCCAGGGTAGCACTGGGATTTCTTGTGTCTTGAACGACACGCAAGGATCTAGGGTACCAGGTGCCCCACGTGGGTCCCATCCCACCATAAGCCCACAATGAGCAAACTGGGTCTCACTTCCCAAGCAGTGTTCCCTTTGGGGTTCAATGGCTCACACTTTCCCAGAGAAGCACCAACCACAGGTAGAAGGGTATTTCCAGTGGTTCAAGCATCCAGGGAATATTTCATTGAGATGAGACAAATCTCAAAATATCTTCTTTAAAACGTTCCATTACAAAATCACCTCCTTTTAGGTAACACTTCTACATAGAAGATGATTGTGGTGTGCATATTTTCAAGAACAGGACATAATGTCTATTTATCAGTTTATAATCTAGAGTACATAGAGATTATACTCCATCTATTGTACCTTCCCCGATACTACTTATACAGATTTCCAGCAAATTATAAACAACTGAAATTATGAAAGGGTTAAATCTTAGATTTGGATTTCTATTTATCTTTCATTAGAATGTTATTTAACATCCTCCTCACCTAATGGTGACTATGGACAAGGCAAGACTACTGGGTTGCTGGAGGAGCTCCATCCCTGGGATGGAAACCCAGGCCAGTTATTCGCCTTTGTGTTCGATCCGTATCTTGCAAGTTTCTCCACCTTACCAACTTGACCTCTCTAAAATCATCACAATACCTATGTCACTGAAAATTAACCCCAACCAGTAACACTTGGGATCCTAGGAAAAGATCCAGATGACTCCATTTATAGGTCAATAATTGCGGGCTTCCTATTCATAGTTTGGGAACTTCTACCCATCTCTCCCCCCACTTTTTTCTTTTTGCAATATGACATACGCTAACGCTTCTTGTACATATCCTTTACACCAGATGTACATTACAGTGTTGAAGAGCAATCAAATTTTTTTTTTCAGAAAAATCCCTTTCTCAAGATATATTCCTATTAGTTTGCTTTCCTATATCCAGGTAAGCACATTGTGTTATTCCTGAGGCTTTTTTCACACCGTCCTATGCTGATCCAAATCAAACAGACCTTTCGAGGGTACTGACAATGACGTCTTTATTGAATATGATCACTGCTAAAGCTGTAGCTCCCTGTTTGCTTTCTAATGTTGTGCCAAGATCTTGGCCTTTAGATGTTCCCAGAATCCCTGGAAACATTACTTATTTGTTTGTGAGTATAAGCTCTAAAATGCTTTTGCATCCACAACAAAATATGAGGATGAATAAAGCATGTGAATCTTTTCCTGGGCTGGAATTTCTTTTCTTCACCTAACCATAGGATTCGGAGCCACTGAGAAGACCAGTAATACTCTACATTGGTGCATTTACAAAATATACCAGCATCAAAACAGAGTAAAAGGATTTGTTGTAACAGGATCTTTTTTTTTAACCTTTGGTATTAAAACTTTTTTTCTGAATATTAAAAGTATTAACATTTCTAAATTCCAAGGGATATTGGTGGGAACTGTGGTTAAGGACTCACATTAACTTCTAAAATATAAATTAAAAAAACTAGTCTTCATATATCCTAGCCTGATGACTTAAAGCAATCAGCTGGGTATCAATAAAATCACCCTAACACTCAATCAAAATGGGTTTTGTTTAGATATCATAAAGGCTAAGTGAACGTAACGGTTCTATCATCAGAAAATACTAGGAAGATGGACAGAGATAACATTTCACAGTGTCTATCAGAAGATCTCAAGAAAATATACTAGTAATTGACGCCCTTCCATTTGAGCTTTATTTTGAGTCATATGACAAAAGCATTTGTTAAAATGGGACCTTTGAAAACCACAAGGAGAAGAGGAGAGTCAACAGTAAGAATGGAGCATAGCTCCCATTAGTGGGTGTGGGGCTTGGGGGGGGGGTTGTTGTCAGAGGGCATGGAGCCGCGTCCCTGCACTCGTGTGCGCCAGCCTTAGGGCCGGGCAGGAGGGTACTGCGGCTCAGGGAGAACGGCTGGCTTTGCTGGCTCCCACTTGCTCCTCAGGCCAAAGTCCAGGCAGAAGTTGGCCTTGTGGGGTTCCTGTCGTCCTGGCACTCCAGAGACACTGTTAGGAGAATCCTGGCCAAATCCTGCATGAGAAGTCACCTCCTTCACATGTTCTCCCACGTCAGGGGGTTAGACTAGAGGAGACCCCTTCTGTCAGGGTTTGTGGTGTTCGTGCACCAGCCAAGGAAAAGGAAGAGAAAGAAAGAGAAAGCAACCTGTTTAACTGCACACAAGAGAAAGGAAAGAATGCTTCAGAATAGTTGATCTGGGAATGAAGCCCAACATGCCCAAGTCTCAGCTCAGCTTGCTGTTTTTTGCATGTACTGAGGGTTTTTAGCAATTTAAATAATTATGATCCTATTGACTTCGGGCCATCATATATATATATATATATCAGTGCTTTCTCAGAGAGCGGTCCAAAGCCACTGTTCACAAAGTACTATACAGAAGAATCTATGCAACCTTTGACCACAGTCAATACACGAAGTATATTCAGACATATATACAGAGCGCCTCCGTATAGACACAAATGTAATAGGCAGGTATCCTCAAAAAGAGGCCTTCACTTGCCATCCTCAAGGCCATCAGTAGGAAATCTTCCTTTCCATAAGGTCCTTCCGACACCACGTGTATACAGATGCCCAAATGCATATTCACGCCCACGTACCTACTGATGCTCCATCACCTCACCCATGCACGCCATCTCTCCTGAACCAAGAAAAACAACACATGTCCCGGGAATGTTCACTTGAATTTTATTGTACTTTTCCTCTTTAAGAAAGCAGAAATCCAAATCCAAAGAAATCTCACACGATTTCTTTCAAATGGATAAACTTAGACAATTTATCAACGCTTCCTTAAATTTTTACACCACCCCGAACTCAACAGGTTTTTGTTTTAAGGTAAACCAGGTTTTTGGTTCTTCCCTGTGGAGAAGTTACTTTCAAGTCAGTGAAAGTTCTTGGCCCATGATGAAAAGTCTTTGCCAATTAGTACTCAACAACTCCAATTCATTTTTTTCTGGTTCAAGATGAGTAGGAGCCTAATAAGGCTGTGATAAAAGGGCAAAAGGCAAAGAGAGCCAAAAGCGGATTAATGAGCTCCTCCATTTATTTGTCTTCCTAACAGCTGAACTGTTACAACTATTGACACTCTTCAAAAGGTTCCGCTCTGAACCCTGTCCAGGCGCTGCAGGCTCCAATGGACATCTTCAAATCCAGAGAATGGAAGGGCAAGGGCTTCCCCTGTGTGATGCCAAAACCAACAAAGCCCCATGGATCAGGTAATGAAACTTCAGCTTTTCCCCCTTTGAGATTTATTTACTGGCAGCTGACAAGGGGCAAATTCAGCTCGAATTGTGCAGTCAAGGCCCTGTCAAGCTTTGAGAGGCACCCTTGTCTTGAAGCACCTTCATGACTGGCATTTCACTCAAAAGCCCTCGGCACTGGTCCTTAACAGCTTATGACATCACAAAGGACACTCCAGACAGATGCCTACATGGCATCCTGCAGCATTTTAAAAGAGAATTAGTGGTTTTAATTATGGTCGTGGTATGAAAGGGAACCATGCAAGCTCCACAGGAGACCTTTGATCAGACCCTTTTGCTAGTACAATGCCACGGAACTGTGACTATTCCTGGTAAGGGGCCTTTTCTTGCTGAATGACTCACCAGTGATCTTTGAATGCAGACAAGCTTCTAGCCCTCCCTCTTCATTAGTGAGCATTTCTATACAGGGGCCTATATAGCGCTTGGAGTCTAGGAGCTATACAATTGGGGGGAAAAGAATCCCTACAGATTCTGGCCTCTACTTAGGAAGTGCTGAAGGACTCGGAGTGACTTTATTCATTAAAACAGGTTGCTATTAATTAACTGTCATAATAAAATAAAGAACTATTATTTGCATTTCTTACTATGTTCTCTTTAGTAATATGTATAAAAGATGCTTGTAACAGAAATGAATTTATTGAACCACTTCCCCATCCAACCCCCCCCCCCGTCCCCCCCTTTTTTTTTTTTTTTTTTTTTTTTTTTTGCATTTTGGCAGCAGGAGCCTACTAATTATTGGGCCTGGATTTATGAGCCCAAACAGAAGTAAAACATAAATATAAAATTAACTAAGGAAATACAAAATCCTTTTTATTTGCCACTTTATGCAACTGAAAGAAAGCAAATTAGCAGCTTTATTTTTTAACGATTTCAGAGAATTATCAAAGACAATAAAACTCCCAACTTTTTTCAAAATATTCACTGGGTTGGTGTTTAGCTTAAAGTGTGAGATTATGTAACAACCAAAGTTACTAAAAAAAAAAAAAGTATTTTAATTTGAAGCAGAGCAAGGTTCACTCTTAAAAAAAAATTACTTTTGAGAAACAGAAAATGTGTCTTTGGTCTGGTATTAACATTTTATGAATTTAATCTTCAAAACTAATCCCAATAAGCAATAAGCAATCTTCAAAACTGATCCCAATAAACGATTCACAATCGATATTTAAAGTACGTGAAAATAGCCCATTCTCTTCTAGCATCTAATCAAGCAAAGTCATTAGGTGAAAGATGGAAGAAGTAGGAGGGTTTTCTGGAAGGTTCTCACTGAAATGCTAAGTGACAAGAGATACACAGAATTTGCATACGTAGCACATCGCAATCACGCAAACACCCCACTGAACAGTACTGCTGTACCCTATCTGGGAAATGACTGAGTCTTCAATTTTTTTTTTCTTGGAGGAAAAACTTTTGCACTTTGGAATTCTGGAAGCTGAACAATGAGCAGGTTTTTTTCACATCCTGCTGCCTCAGACATTTTTCCTATTTCTCAGACTTTGCAATTCTTTTCTTAGGTGCTTTAGAGCAACGAAAATATCAGGCAGCTGTGGATCATTCCGTGCTTTCTGAGTGTAGAGGCGGAAGTGTCTGATGGTTTCAGATAACAAGACTTCAGGGTCTGCACCTCTTTCCCGAAGGCGTAACATGCGCTCACAAGCGATGGCATAGTTCTTGTGCCAATTCACTGGGTGTTCCTTTTGTAAAGAGACAATCTCCTTATAAAGCTGAAAAACAGCAAAGATGTTGGTATTCCATTGTTATCCTTTGACTTTTTTTCAAAACACAGAAAACACAGAGGAATTAATCACACAAGAAGGAAAATCCACACAGCCTATAGTAAAAATCGAATCATTGCTAGGCCATGCAGAAAATGCAAGAATGTGACTGTAATTATTACAGTGGCAGGAGGCAAATGTGCTTCATCTAAAACTGCTTCTGGGGTTTTTCGGATGTTGCAGGGGGAACCTAAGACACACTGTGTCAGGACAAAATGCTCTTCCTCCAGAAAGATGTTCTGGGAAAGGGATTTAGTTCTAATTCATGGAAAGCTATTTACTCAACAGGCAGAAAGGCTGAAACTCTAAATTTAGCCGTTGGAGAAAAAAAAATAGCTTCCTTTAGAAAACTGCATGGAAAAAGAACTGGAAGGAATTTAAATTTTGACCCTCCTTTTCATATAAATTTCTCTCTACATTAAAAACAACAGCAGTAACAATGGCAACAATAAACCAGCTCAAACAAGTCCATCATCAAATACGCTGGGCATAAAAGAATTTAAGAGACATCCTTAGAGCGAGATATTAAAAATCTTCAGGGCACCCTATAATTACAATTTCGATAGTTAACATTTTGCCCACGGAAATCAGGAATTTTGTTACGCAACATCAGAGATCGTATGAATTTGGACAGAGTTTGAGACTTTGATATTGAGTTTTCCAGGGAGAAACATTAAAATTTAACAAAAAAAGTAGAGCCAAACCTGCACAATGGAATACTAGACTTGCTTAGGTGGGAATTCCACAGCCTTCTTGGGGATTGGCAAATTGGGAGTCGGATCTGCAGGAACGTGAGCTCATCCACAGACTCAGTGAGCGCACAGAACAAGGAACGATGCTTTCTCGAGGGACAAGGGCTTCTGTGGTTAGACCTGTATCCATCACATCATTCAGTTGAAAGGGACACAAGATACTAGCTAATGCCCCAACTTCTACTCCAGGGCAGATAAATGCATCCCTACCTAACCTACTTTTAAATAGCATCCACAGGAAAAATCCCAGAATTCATGTTCCATGTGTCATTTTGGTATTTAATAAGCGTCGGTCTTCAAGCTGGCTTTTAAAGCAGTTTCCCCCTTCACTTCTTTCCCTCCAGAACCAAGGAAACAGTCACCTCGCGCTTGCATGTACATCAAAGCTCTAAAGCTAGCCTCCCACTCTTCCGTTCTCTTGGTCAAATATCCAGTGTTTCTCTACCTTTCCTTGTGGTCTGTTTACTCCACTGTTGCTTCCCTTCCCGAGCGCCCCTCCGGTGAGGGACGTGTGAAGTGCACGGCACACTGCCCGGCACGGAGCAGGCACTCAGGACTGTTTAGGTTCTTTACTTTCCCAAGTGTTTGAAGTCCTACCAAGGTTCTGGAGTTCAAAACAGAGGCCAGCCCTTGAGAGAGCATTTCCCCAATGGCTCAAGAGAATGAGAGGCTCAGTGGCGTCCTCCCCATTATATAGTCTCCAGCTATTGGAACAAGCATACTACCTGTTTCTGGAACACTTTGTTACTGACACATCATCAACTTATTCGGGGTAGCCCATTAAGCCACGTGTGCTGTACCTTAAGAAGCTGGTCATTTCTCATCACATGGAACTCTATTTCCTCCTCTATGGGTTACTGTGACATTTGTCTTAGCAGACTATTCTATTTACTGGGGACACCCATTTATAAAATGTATTCCTAAAGATAACAGGGGTATTCCCTGCTCCCCCACTACACCTGAACTTAAGGTCCCCCTAACATAAAGTTCTGTATGAGCTACTGAGTGGAATACTATAAATAACAACAAAAATGTCTTACACCTAACAAGAATGTTCTTGAAAAACCAGTACCAGGGGGTGGATTTGTGTGGACCCATCACGTATTTGACCTTATATGTCTTGCAAACAAGGTCACACCTCTGGAGACATATGCAAAGAAGAGACCTATGGACTTGTGTCCACTGAAAAGAGTAAAGTTTACAGGCCCAACGGGACAATAAATCCGTGAATCAGCTTCAGTAGTGGCCCAGCAAATGACCACGGAACGGGTCACTGACGAGAATATGAAATAACAGTAAGTCTCAGATTTCTCCCCACTAAATACTGCTTGCTGTTCACACAATCACAGGGTATTAGAGATGAACGGGCTATGACATGACAAGGACACGAGAGATAATCGATAAAGCTTAAAGCCTACTTTTATTTTTAGAAGAAATCGAGGCCTGGAAAGGTGAACTGACTTACAGTTGGCAATTAATGGTGCAGCAGGCCTTGCAGCTGGATCTGCCAACTGCCAGACAGAACTCCAGCTTGCGGTCCCCCATAATCCATCCCTTGCTGTCCCCGAGTGGGCACCTCGGAGGGTTCTGCCCTTGTCCCTGTGGACTGTCCTCCCTGGCCCACCCTCTCACTACTCTGCCCCACCAGCTCCTTCCGATCTTTAAAGATGACACTCCAGGGACGCCTCCTGCGAAGGCCCCCCTCCCGTCCTCACCGGCCCCTCTCCAGGAGTTGGACGCAGGTACAGCTTGCTGTCCCTCGTGGTTCCTCTGCAAACCCTTCATGTCCCTTACAAGACTAATGTAACTGATGACTCTATCTTCTGTCTCCCTCTGTAGCTGCTACCTCTTGGGTAGCAGGGACAATGCTTGGTCGTCTCCACCAAAGTACTGGGTACAGACTGGGTGCTCAAGAAATGCTCTGTGAGTAAATGAATACATGAATAAACAATGAGCCCATGACCACAACATTCAGTAGTAAGATGAGTCATACTGATGGGACACCGTGCAATGCGGACTTAGCACTAAACCAGTGCTGGGTGAGTAGCCCCACAGCAGCCCGCAGGTGGCAGGGACACCTTGGTTGCTAACAGAGATAGCTCCAGGGCTCGGGGCTCACTGGTCCTTGCCAGGACATCTGTTTCTTAGACAGCAGGCTCCCAGACGGTCTCCGAAGGTGTCTAAAGAGCCCAGGGATATGAATCTCAGAAAAGCAGGGGCTCATTATAACAGGGCAACAGCAAGTCTCTGCTCCGTCCTTCTGTTCCCCACCAGCGAGGACCACCTGTGCCAGAGCCATTCTCCAAGACCCTTTATCTTTCTCACGAAATCCCAACCAGCCACAAACCCATCGCTTCAAGTGCAGCGAGGAGCAGGACGTCTGCTCAGAGGGCAACCTGTCAGAACTGGTTTGGTGGGGGCTGTGTCCTATGGTTTCCTATGTGTTTCCTGTTGCTGTTGTAACAAATCACCACCAACACAGTGGCTTAAAACAACATACACATATTATCTTACACTTCTGGAGGTCAAAATCCATAAAATCAAGGTTTTTGTAAAACCAGCAGGGCTGTGTTCTTTCTTGAGGCTCCAGAATCTGTTTCTTTGCCCTTTGCAGCTTCCAGAGGCTGCCTGGACTCCCCCACCTGTGGCCCCTTCCTCCACCTTCCAAGCCAGCCACCCAGTGCCTTGGAATCTTTCTCTCTGCCCTATGCTTGCATTATCACCTCTCCGTTTCTGCCTCGGACCCTCCTGCCCTCCTTCTTAGAAGGGCCATGTGATTACAATGGGTCCACCTGGATGATCCAGGATAATCTTCCCACCACAAGATCCTTAACTTAATCACACGTGCAAAGTCTCCTTTGTCATGTAAGGCTATCCATCCATTCACAGGCTGTGGAGATGAAGATGTGGACATCTTTAGGGAGGGGGTATCATCGGTCAACCACACCATTTACTTTAGACATTATTTGTGGTACACAAGTAGTTTTCCATTTATACCGCTTTATAAAGCCAAATAAGACTAGAAACGACAAAGTAAAAACTCTACTGTGATACACACTCCCCATTCCAATCACTACCACCTTCCCACCAAACATATTTATAGATATAAAAGTGTAACGTACGTTATACGCATGAGTGTAGAGTTGAGCCTTCACATTCGAAGGTATGTTTGCAGTTTCTGCCAGGTTAAAGATGAAGAATGGTGTTTTCATCCTGGGAATTGGGGCGGGGGGAGGGGGGAACCTTCATTAAAATCATGTTGTCAAATTTCACATTTAAAGCTATATCTGCCAGATTTCCCACCAATAAAGAACATACAAAACACTTTATTATATACTTTTTCCTCTCTCATATTCATAGAAGTGTCCCCGCTGCCAACATGCTGCATTCACACTGCTTGCCAAAGCTTTTAGGAAAAAACTTAAGTTCATCGTCACGATTATACATCAGATCTCCACCAGATGTACGTCACTGTCATGCGAGAGCAGCTGGGAAGGGGGGTACTTGCTGAGTTTGTCAGCACAGCCCTGGAGGTACCCATTGCAATGGCTCATGCCATGTGTGACTGGTTCCTCAAAGGTAGCTAGACTCTTTGACCACATGAACACATCCAAATTGTCTTCAGCAAACCCATTAAATCAATACCTGCCTGAATAATGACCTGCTTTCTTCTTTTATGTGATTTCTTCCCCAGCTTTCCTACATTCAGTCGCAGTGAAGAACTGTGCAAACATACAGGGGGCATCTTTGATCAGTTCTTCAAAGCAAGTGTTTGTCCCTATAACTAGGCTGATCACTTGCAATATGCTGTTTTCTGACTTTTTCAAGAACACTGCTGCATAAACTGCAGTACGCCTATTTTTGTAATTGCTATTTTGAAGCTCTATTTCTTGACAACTTTTTAAAAACCTCTTTAAACTTATGTAAATCCCTTATATCATAACTCAATCCTCAGTGCAAAGCAGTCTGGCTCAGAGTGGGCCCCCTTCCTTCCCTGAAGGAGATGCTTCCCAGGTACTTGGTCGCCCCGTCTATATGCCACTGAGGACTTTTATATTATAGTTAGGCCAAAGTCTGTGAGTGTTAGATATTTTGAATATTTTATTTATTTTTTTTGAAGATTTACTTATTTATTTGGGAGAGAGATTGAGAGAGAATAGTGGGTAGAGGCAGAGGGAGAGGAAGGGAATCAGACTCCCTGCTGAGGGCGGAGCCCCACGTGGGGCTCAAACCCATGACCCTGAGATCACCACCCCAGCTGAAACCAAGAGTCAGATGCCTAACTGACTGCACCACCCGGGTGCCCCAGTATTTCGAATATTTCAAAATAATGACAGGAACCAGAGCATCCAGAGCGTCCCTGTGAAGTGTTCCATACAGGAACAACAGGAAAGTATAACATCTAGCACATCTGTATTCAAACCTCTTTTAACAAGTCCGTCTGCTCCATTAGACTGTAAGCTCCTTGAGGGTAGGAACTGTGTCGTATTCATAGGTGTAGCTTCCAAACACGGCATGGTGTCTGGCCTCTAGGAAATACTGAGTAAGTGCTTACATAATTAACTAGCACATTACCCGTGGATTCGGGGCCTTATCAACTTCTCCTCAGTCACTTTCATTTAGTTGAGGCAGGAGAGCATCGGAGCAGAGCAGTGTTCCTGAGTCGGGCGGACGCGAGTTCCAGAGTCTCTCACGTGTCGCTATTTGGCTTTGGACAAGTAACCTCTCTACCTCCAGTTTGTCCTTTTGTAAAACAGGGATAACAGCGACCTCTTTATAGGTTTATAGGTTGTTTTGAGGGCAAAATGAGATTATGAATGTACAGCCATCAGCACAATGCCTCAAACAAAATGACTGCTCGTAAATGCTATTTTATTATCACCACTGACCCCAAAACAGACTGCAAACACAAAAGTGTGGGCTAGTCACCTTGCTTGCCACATCTCTTCGTCGGCCACAGATTCCCAAGAAGATGGATCAAACCTGCAGTTACAAGAAAACAGTGACATTTTTCTGCCAGCTACGTTTATTGCTATGGACATGTAATCCCTGTTTATAATCTTACAAGGCAAATAAAGTAGGTTGGATCTTGAAGGACTGATAGGGACCAAAATAATAAACTTATTCTCCTAGAGAAGTCTGATCACTAGGAATTTGAGCGTTTGGTAAATGTGTTCTTAATCTGCATAATGAGCCCCAGCGCCCCAGGGGAGTGGACAAAGGATTAGTGGGAAGAGGCTGGAGGCATCTGAAGAGCCTGCTGTTCTTTAAGAAGTGCTAGATGTGCAATGGGGCAGAGGCGAGGCCTGGGTCGCTCTACGGATGCGGCCAAGAGCCAAAGAGCTGGGAAGCAAGGCGGTAAGCCTGAGAGAAGGGGCTCCTGGCTTTGTTGACATCATTGCTGGAGCAAGGATGCCATCAAAGGGCACTGGCTGAACCATCTGCTGAATTTTTCTCTCTCTTAATTAGACTTTCTTATTGTGTCTCTTTTGATGGAATGGACATAGCAAGTGGTGCTGGGTGCTTGTACTTTGGTCAGCTGTTTGCAGAAAAGGTTATATTCTTTCTTTTCTTTTATTTTTTTAAGTGAGTTCTATGCCCAACATGGGGCTCCAACTCACAACCCCAGGATCAAGAGTTGCATGCTCCAATGACTGAGCCAGCTGGGTGCCCCAGAATAAATTATTTTCTAACTTTTCCTCACCATAGTCACCAAGTGCTTTGATACAGACCTACTTATCCATCTCTGGTTGGTGCAATGTGGTCTGTTTGCTCACGAATGGATCCAAAACCCCTTTGTAGCATTTTTCATATCATCTTGCCTGTTCTTGAATTATAAGCAATAATTATCGAATCTTTAAATAATTCGTAACTTAAAAATAGGCAAGGGAGGCACATTTCTATAGATGGTGACTCAATTTCCATATGGGAGAGAATCAGCTCTGCAGAGATGCTTATTGGAAGACTGATCATGCCCCAAACAACATGAGCAGGCTAATGACGAACAACTGAAGAACGAGTTACTCATCACAGGCCAGTGTCCCCCAGAGAGAAGTTATCTGCCATTCCTGAAGAACAACAAATAGGCTAAGTTCATGCACTGTGCAACCTATCACGGGACATAGAGTACCTCATAAAGCTCTACTGCAGTTAATAGATGTCTTCCACTAAGGGGAACCCTCCTACACTGTGGGTGGGAATGCAAGCTGGTGCAACCACTCTGGAAAACAGTATGGAGGTTCCTCAAACAGTTGAAAATAGAGCTACCATACGATCCAGCAATTGCACTACTGGGTATTTACCCCAAAGATACAAATGTAGGGATCCAAAGGGGTACGTGCACCCTAGTGTTTATGGCAGCAATGTCCACAATAGCCAAACTGTGGAAAGAGCCAAGATGCCCATCGACAGATGAATGGATAAAGAAGAGGTGGTATATATACACAATGGAATATTATGCAGCCAACAAAAGGAATGAGATCCTGCCATTTGCAATGACATGGATAGAACTGGAGGGTGTTATGCCGAGTGAAATAAGTCAATCAGAGAAAGACATGTATCATATGACCTCACTGATATGAGGAATTCTTAATCTCAGGAAACAAACTGAGGGTTGCTGGAGTGGTGGGGGGTGGGAGGGATGGGGTGGCTGGGTGATAGACATTGGGGAGGGTATGTGCTATGGTGAGCGCTGTGAATTGTGCAAGACTGTTGAATCACAGATATGTACCTCTGAAACAAATAATGCAATATATGTTAAGGAAAAAAAAAGAAGAAGAAGAAGATAGCAGGAGGGGAAGAATGAAGGGGGGGAAATCGGAGGGGGAGATGAACCATGAGAGATGATGGACTCTGAAAAACAAAATGAGGGTTCAAGAGGGGAGGGGGGGTGGGGGGATGGGTTAGCCTGGTGATGGGTATTAAAGAGGGCACGTTCTGTGTGGAGCATTGGGTATTATGCACAAACAATGAATCATGGAACACTATATTAAAAACTAATGATGTAATGTATGGTGATTAACATAACAAAAAATTTAAAAAAATAGATGTCTTCCACTTTCAGGGTGCGAGACAGAGGATGATGGACAATATGGCATCATGAGAGTTGGAAGTGGAAGGTGCCATGCCCCAAACTGTTGGGAAGCCCACTCAACCACAGCCCCCCTTGCCCTCCCATCTCCCTACTGTTCTTCAAACACGAGGACAAGAAATACATGTTCTCTATTATGATTTGCATGGGCAGCAAGTAACTAGTATTATAGTATTAATACCTAATAAAAAATAAAAAATATGCATGGGCATCTCAAAATTTAGTAAGCACACAAAACCACTATGCTCTGATGAAAAATACAGCTGCTGTTCATACCTTCCATATTCTTCGGTCCAGTTATAGATATTTCTTGTAAGTTTAATCCACTCCTCAGGGTTGAATACAATCTCTGAAGGAACTAATTTGTCACAAGAGCCCCAAGGCCACAGTGAATAATTCTTTTTCCAGGTTGGGTCACCTTCATGAATTCCTATGCAAACAAATGTTTTTTTTCTATTGAAAACAGAAAAATACATGTATTTTTAACTCCAAGTTCTAAATGTTAATAAATACAATTCACGAAGGGTCATTTTTGGCTCCTTAAACTGTTGTTACCAATAAATTATTTGCAAAAACCTTCTGGTTTATTTAAATCTTTCCTAAACAGGATGTTTAGAATTTATATTAGTGTAAAAAAACTGTCTGGGGGGATTTGGGGGTGGAAGTTAACAGACATAAACGATAAAAACCGATCTGTTCGTTAACATTGTAAGAAATCACTTGACAAGCATCGTTGGAGTGACAGTTTCTGTGGTCCTGTCTCACATGTAAACAGACACTTTGACACCTTTTTTTTTTTTTTTCATTTTACAGGTGGAAATATAAGGCTGCATTTGATTCCCTACTTAGAAGTAATGTCTCCTTCCTCAATTCCCATTGTACTTTATTTTTTGTCTTTTTTATCATTATTGTATTGTGCTTATTGTTTCCATTCACAAATCTCCCCGAATAGCCCAGAAGCATCCTGAGGATAGGCTCTCTATCTCTGAATTCACTCTGAATTGCAAATAGCACAATGCTTAGCTAATACACAATATATGCTGAATAAAATTAGTTAGGTTGAATAAACTATTAGGAGCTTTGAATCCTGCAAAAATTAGGAAAAGAAATGGTTTAAATAAGCTTGGTTCAAACTCACTATAATTGAATAGTTCTATTCCAATTTGTGGTGTATGCCTGAGTAGCTATTGCTAAGTGCGGAGGGTGGGGAAGCATATTAGAAGAAATTACTTGAAAGTAAAAAACTGCATGAACTTTGAAACAAGATACTTTTGGCTTAGATTTTAGATTTTACCCTATCGCTTATGACCTGTATGATTTGGAGGAAATTACTTCACTACCTGCGTCTAGTCTCCTCATCTGTGAAATGGGTATAACCCAATTAAGATTAAATGAGGCATCTGATACAAAGTACAGTATTCGAACATTAGAAGAGTTCTGGTTCTGGGGAAGACGGAGTAAGCACACTCTCCCGTCTCTCCCACTGCATACCAGATTTCCTCGATAGAATGCATGGAATCTGAGGACTCTGAAAAGTAAATGGTGTAAAGAAGGATGGGGAGAGATACCAGAATTCTAAGTTCTACCAAACCTGTGGTGAGTTTTCCATTTCTCCCCTTCCAGTATTGCCTTGCCTGGACTCAAGGGAAGCGTAAAACCCGGAACTACATACCAAGTGAGGACAAAAAGAGCTCCAAGAAAAGCCCAGGGAGGAGGAAAGGGAACTCAGTGGAGAGCAGAGGAAATGTCCTGGCTTGCCCCCATTCTCTTCTTCCCCAGGCCCCAGGCAGTACTGTGCCGGTAACGAGGCAGCAGTAGGACGATGGGCTGGTTCCCACAGTTCGGAGGGAAAGAAACATTGCTCTCTAATCAGAGGAGCTGTGGTTGCAAGAGCTGGGAGCTAATCCTCACGGCTCTTTACCTCTCTGTGTCCTCTGGCAGCCTGGTCCCACATATAGACAGTCACAGGAGTGGCAGAAGAGGGAGATTAAAGAGCCAGTTTTCTGGCCAGAGAACTGGAGAGAAGGCTCCAAGGAGAGGGAAGGGCCAGGGTGAAGACAGAAACGAGGGAGGTCAAGAGAGCCATCCCATAAAGTTGTGTATGAACTTCTGGCTTATCTCTGAGCTCAGCATGCATGGATCTGACCCTTAATAGACTTTGAGAAATGAGCCACTGGACAGATGGCCATCCAGGTCCCAGAATGCGTAATGGGCAGCACACACAGGGATTGATTCAGATAGCACTGCAAATGCTTTGAAAACAGAACCAACACTGGAACTGTAGGCCTCAGATGGCAGGTCAGAACTTGCAGCCTGAGATTTACCTGACTGACGGTCTGTTAAACAAACACAACAAACAAAATCACCATTCTCCTTGGGATTTAAATAAGGCCCAAATATTCAAAATGTCCAGGATATAATCTAAAATTATTTGGCATATGAGGAACCAGGAAAATCTCAACTCACAATGGAAAATGCAATCAATAGATGTCAATTCCAAGATGACACAGATGTGAGAATTGACAAAGACTTTAAAATACCAATTCTAAGCATGCACCAACAAGTAAAGGCAAGTACTCTTGAAATGAATGGAAAAATAGAAAGTCTCAACAAAGAAATAGAAGATACAAAAAGGAACCAAATGGAAATCACAGACCTGAAAAATACAATAATGGAAATTAAAAATTCACCAGATGGGCTTAATGTTAAGTCTGGAGAGAGAGAGAAAGAGAGACAGCTGGCAGGCAGTGAACTTGAAGACAGATCAAGAGAAATGATATAATTTAAACCAAGAGCAAAAAGACTGAAAAAAAATGTACAGTGTCAGGCACCTGTGGTCTAATGTTCACATCATCAGAATCCCAGATGGAGAAGAGAAAAAATGTGAAGCAGAAAAAGTGAAGAAATAATGTCTAAAAAGCTCCCAAATTTTGTGAAAGACACCATCTAACAGATTTAAGAAGCTCAGTGAACCCCAAACAGATTAGATTCAAATCCATGCCCAGATACACCATAATCAAACTGCTAAAAACTGAAGACAAATACTCTTGAAAGCAGCCAGAGAAAAACAACATGTTGCACACAGAGAGCAATGATTTGAATGACTGTGGGTCTCTCCAATAGAAACCATGTGGGTTAGAAGGATGCAAAATAACATTTTTTAAGTGCTGGGGGGGGTGGCGGGAAACAAAACAAAACAAAATGAACAACCCAGAACTTAATATCCGGAAATATTCTTCAAAAACAAGGAAGAAATAAAGACATTTTCAGATAAAGGAAAACTGAGAGAATTCACTGCTAACAGTCTTGCCCTAAAAGAAACGTTACAGGAATATCTTCAGATGGAAGAGAAATGATACGAAAGGACAACTGGACTATCAAGACCAAAAGAAAGGCGATGGATCTGGTAAATATCTGGACAAATATCTTAAACTATTTTTTCTCTTAAATTTATTTTTCTCTTAAATTTAAAAATGTATGTGTGATAGTTGAAAACAAAAATTATCACATGTCTAAGATATATGACAACACAACCAAAAGTGGGGAGGTTAAAGGGACTTATATGGCAGCAAATTTTCTATATTCCACTTGAAGTAGCAAAATATCAATCCTGAGTAGACTGTGAAGAGTTCAGTATGTATACCGTGATTCCCAAGATCAACTGTAAAAAAAAAAATTTACCAAAAGACATAGTAAAAATCTCAATAAATAATTTAAAATGGAGTACTAAAAAACCAAATTTTCCAAAATAAGGCAGGAAAGGGGGAGCAGTGGGCTAAAAACCAGAGGGAACAAATTGAGAGCAAATCATAAAATAATAGACAGACATCTAAATATGTCAATATTTACATTAAATGCAAATGGTCTAAATGTACCAGTGAAATGGTAGTGTCAGAATGGATAATAAATATGCTATCTACAAGAAACCCACTTTAAATATGATATAGGTGGTTAAAAACAAAAGGATAAAAAAAGATATACTATGAAAACACTAATCAAATTAAAACCAATAAAAAACCCAGAAGAATTCTTTTTTTGTAAATACAGAGAAAGATGCAAATGTCACTCAATGGCATTTCCAGAAAATATGAGGACAACTTTACATTTATATGCCAAAAAGAAACAACAATAAAAAAAACCCAAGAACCTTGTCTTAATCCCCTGCCCCTTATGAAAAGTAACTCAAAGTAGATCATTGATCTGAAATGTAAAACATAACACTACTAAACTCCTAGAAGAAAACATGAGAAAATCTTTGTGACCTGGCATTAGGCAAAGAGTTCTTGGATGTGACACCAAAAAGCATGATCCAAAAAAGAAAAAAGTATGATCCGTAAAAGAAAAAACTGATCACTGGATTTCATCAAAATTAGAAAACTTTTATCTGCAAAAGACACCTCAAAGAGAATAAAAAGTCAAGCTACAAACTTTATGAATCACATATTTGACAAAGGATTTCTACCTAGAATACATAAAGAACTCTTAAACCCCAATAGTTAAGAAAACAAACAATCCAATAATCCCATCCATATTCACACACAAACTTGTACATGAATGTTTAGAGCAGCTCTATCCCCAAACTGAAAATAACCCAAATGTCAAATGCCTCTCAACAGGTGAATGGATAAAGAAGCGGTGGTACTACACCTCTACAATGGAACACTACTCAGCAATGACAAGGAATGGACTATGGGTACACACGACTTGGATGGATGTCAAAGGCGTTATGCTAAGTGCAATATGCTGGCGTCAAAAGGTTACATACTTTATAAATCCATTACATGACATTTTGGAAAAGGTAAAACTATAGCAATGAAGAATAGACCATACAGAAGGGAGTTTCTGGGGTCATGGCTCTGTTCTGTATCCTGACTGTTGTGGGGGTTACACAAGTGTATACATGTGTTAAAATTCATAGAACTATACATCAAAAAAAGATAAATTTTACTTCATGTTAAAATAAAATAAAATAGTAGGTGTTAATATTAGCTTCCTTCCTTTTAAAAAGTACCCATTTAGAGAGCTTTCATATGATGCTGATGGTTCAATGCTTGGGGAAAAAAAACTCTATCAAGTGCCTTTCAATTGTTCATGTCCTCTGACTTAGTAATTTCATGTCTGAGAATCTATCCTAAGAATTCAAACTTCTACCTCCCGCAAAGAAAAACTATACACACAAAGTCATTTAATGTAGTCTATAATTTTATGATAGTTAAAAATTAAGATATGTTAAATATCTACTAATAGTTCCATTCCTCTATTATTAAAATATAGTACATGTACCTACTAAAAATATTTACAAAAAGTGTGTAAAAACATTAAAAAATGGTTTTATGATATTTAGTGAAAAAACAGGATTCTTCTGCTTTATGCTTTCAATTTTGTAAAAAATATGCATTTTTGATTTATTTGTATTTCTGAGTGATAGAACCATATTTTTTCTAGTTTAAAAAAATAATTTCTTATTCTATAATGAACAATGTTACTTTTTAAACTAAAAATTTTATTTAAAAAACTGATATCAATAAGCAACATTAATCTTGAGGCCTTGGTTAATCAGATTAACAAAAATTGATGGCCCAGAAAGTTCATCACCATGCTATATTATAATAGCCAAAGACTAGAAACAACAAAAATGTCCAAAAATAGAGTATTTGTTAAGTCATTGTGCATCTATATAAGAATATTAAACAGTCAAGAAGTGATGGTAATAAAGGCACTTTTCGGAGTACATGGGGAAATGTTTATGACATGATATTAGGTGAAAAGAAACTGAACAGGAAACTAAATATGATCCCAGCTAGTGCAGTATAAGTGTGTGAGAATGTATGTGTTTGTGTAAGTAAATAATTGATGGTAAAACTGGAATTCCAAAAAGTTTACCAAAATGTTAAGACTATGACAGCTGTCTTAAAGACAGATACTGTTCTTCTTTACACCTACTTGTCTGTATTTTTTAGAGTTTCCAAGGATCATACAGCATTTCCATAATGAGGCCAGGCCTCAACCCCATCTATGGGATAACGCCCTTGACAATCTGGGCCCCGCCCTCCCTGAGCATCATCCCTTCACCTAGCCCTCTAAGCCCTGTGCTCCACACTTACTGGGCCACCCCCAGTTTCCCTAGAGCTCAGCCGGCCCTTTCCAGGACTTCACACAAGCACTTCCCTGAATCAGCCTTCTCCCGCCCACTTGGCAAATTCCTACCTCGTCCGTAAGTCTCTAACATTTTGTCCATACCAACACTGCCATGCTTCCCGGATGACAATGTAATTTATCTGCTTCATACGTCAGGCACCACCCGAAACCCTCCCTGAAAGTCTGCAACAGCAAGAGGCCATGCCCAAGCAGCCGTAGCTCGTATAGTTGTTGGGGCATCTTGGCCACTCAATATATATTAAGTAAATGTGGAATGAATGCTCCCAGGCAGAATTAACTGCTTCTTCATCCATGCTCCCAGTTAAGTCATCCATTCAGTAAACACATATTGAACTGGGTATCACACTTGACAAAGCTTGGCTAATATAGAGCTTACCCCATTATATTATAGCCAGTTCAATGCATATCTCTGTATAGATGCAACTAGATTGTGGTCTCTTTGAATTTGGAACTGAGTCTCCCTTTACTGCCAAGGCCTAACATGAGCTGGAACATAGTAAATTCAATAAATGTTTGTGGGGTTGAATTAAATAAAATTCACCCAAAAAAATGCCTCTTTACGGATATTAATGGCTCTTGATATTTTATTCCAAAATAGAACAATTAAATGTTACTCTCATAACACATTGATACTGATTACTTATTACTTCATGAGCCATAGTAAACTTCAGCCTCTGAACACCAGAAGTACCACATTATCATATTCTTAGTAAGGGATAATTTAACTTTGGAATTTAGAGAGAATTTCTCAAGTTCCCTTTATAAGAGAATAGAAATTACGAAACAAGTTTTCTTCACACTCTGGACAATCCAAAGCACTTCATGGTTAGGAAAAATGTTCAACACTATACCACTGAAGGAGTTATTCATTCTTGACCTTAACTATGAATAATTTTATATTCTTAAGTACAGAATTCACAATTCTCATATGTTATCTTGGCCAGCGTTAACTGTAGGTGTTTTTCTTATTTACAAAAATGCCTTATCCTTTATTAAAAAAATCCTTAAGCTATTTTTATATAGTTATTATTCCTGGAAAACATTTGCTTTACACTTAAAAGGGGGTCCTGGTGTTGATCGGGGTAAGCTGTAATTGCTTGCGATCCACCCGCAATGATTTCAAGTAGACAGGCATATCTCCAATTTCTCTGAGTTGTACTAAGATCTTATTTGCTATTCTTGCTAATCTGTCTTTATTTTTCCTTTACCCAGAACAATAACATTTATTTCTGCCAGGCCTCATTTATGCACAGATATTCAATTTAATTACAAAGATAATCTCACTGGTGACAGGGAAATAGGTGTAGAAAATTGGTCTTTTGGATGAGGCACAGCTGCTACATAAACAATTTTAGAAAAGCTATTATATGAAAAGAATGCTTACTGTTTGTTTATTTCAAGAAAATGATAAAGATTAAATGTGACCATTCCACTAGGTAATATTCCTTCCACAGGATTCCACCGGTCTCCAGGAAAGCTGACACCTGGTAAATGCTTTGCCATCTTGGGTAAATACCACTCATAAGTCATCATCTATCAGAAAAATAACAAATGATGTCATATTTTTTGTATACTTCTTAAAAAAGAATCAAGTTTATCAAGTACAATGAAGAAGTTCTACGATGTGGATATACTTGTTAAACATTAACATCACAACTCACATATGTGACACTGACTTCTCCTCTAATGACTGAAAGATTGGATTTCATTTCTTAAGCTGTGACTATTATTAGTAACATAAGCACCTGGTTTGATCTCACCTCTGTGCATTTGGCGGACTACCCAGAATGACCTTTCCCCATTCTCCTACTAGAGAATGTGTACCCAACTTTCAGACCAAGCTGAAGTATTACTTCTCTGTGATGCCTTCCCACTCCCGCCGCCCAGTTCCACAGCAGAATGATATGCCCCTACAGCACTTTGCACCTTACCTCTGTCATAGCTCTGACCCTACTCCTCGCTAGCCTGTGAGCTTCTAGAGGGAAGGGACTGTATGTTTTCAGCTCTGTGCCTCTGCACCTAGCACGGTGCCTGGCATTGAATGGTTCTCAAATTCTGTTTGCTGAAGTGAAATGTCTAAGGTGGCCAGACTAGAAGACCTGCACGAGATACAGAGATGTGTCATTATTCTTTCGTTCACTATTTACTCAAGAAACAACTATTGCTCACCTGCAGTGAAGAAGATAAAGTCTCTGCCCTTGAGAAGCTCAACGTTTGTGATCATCTAGACCTCAAAGAGAAAACCCTTTTTGGCTAAATTATCTGAATTTAAGAGTATGTCCAAATTAACTACATATCCTTACATGTTCTTTTGGTTAAAATAAATCATTAATATCAGGAAAAATCACTTTTTCTTAAATCTATACCTACCTATACTTTTATATGTACAGATTTACTTTTTTTTTAAAGATTTTATTTATTTATTTGACAGAGAGAGAGACAGCGAGAGCAGGAACACAAGCAGGGGGAGTGGGAGAGGGAGAAGCAGGCTCCCCGCAGAGAAGGGAGCCCGATGCGGGGCTTGATCCCAGGACCCTGGGATCACGACCTGAGCCGAAGGCAGATGCTTAACGACTGAGCCACCCAGGTGCCCCAGATTTACTTTTTTTTTTAAGACTCCTATTTACACTTGCAAAGCTTTGTTACAGTTTAGATATCATCTTTTGAAAATTATGCTTATGTTTTACTTGCTTTATGTAATTTAACTAGAAATGACAAATTATTTTTAATCTAGGTGTACATTATAAATACTCAAAAGATACTTACTGAATTAGATTTTATTAACCAACAGTTTCAATTCTTGGGGATATTAACATTAATTCTATACCTTCTATATGCTATGACCTCAATATTTCTCATATGATTCTCAGAGTAACCTTATTGTGTGAGAGTAATTACATTAGACACTGCTGATTGTCCACTGAACAGCTAATATCCTCCTCTTCCTCACTCACACAATCCTGACTTCGATCAGGTCCCCCAGGGCAGCGATATGCTTGGGTCTGGTCTTTCTCCTTTGCTAGAAAGTAGTTTAGGAGTGGGCATATGACCAAATACTGGTTAGGGGGACCCGAGGGGAGGTCTGCTAGGGGACTCTGGGACACATGTTACTCTCAACAGAGAGAGAGAGAGGATGGTGCAGGGAGAGAGAGAGAGAGAGAGAAGAGAATGGGAGGGGAGGGGAAGGGAGCGGAAGGGAGAGAAGGAGAGAGGCACTTTGCTTCATTTTAGGATGTGATGTTTGGAACTGGGCCTTCATCAGTTCAAGATGGACGTAGAAAAGTCACCCCAGAACACTGACATCATTGAACTGCTCATATTATCCAGCCTAAAACCTCCTATCTCCAGACTACTTCTTATGTGAGATTAAAAACCCCATAGTTTAAGCTACTCTCAGGTATTTTGTTTCTTGCCTTCAAAAGCATCCTAACTTACATGATGATCATTTCCATTTTATAGATCAGGAAACAGAAGCTCTGAGAGGAAAAGTCATTAGCCCCGCGCCGCGAATCCTGGCAGTGACAGAATGAGGACTGGATGCAGGTCTAATTAACTTTGAAATCCATGCTTCTGAATGATAGTTGCCGCCGTCCTAAAGCAGTACTTAAAGTCATGGTGGGGTACCACATTACCGACTAACAGCCAGCTTTTGTCAGAAACTAGACTGAAGATCAAATTGATCAATTTGTATAGATGATACAAATGCAAACTGCTTATAAAAATGTGTAATGTGCAGATTTCCCTATATTTGCAAATCTGTTTATATGGTTTTCTTCCAAAAATTCAAATTATTCATTCATTCAACAAAATTTATTAAATATTGTGCTTAATAATTTGCTCAATCAAACTAATTATAGTATTAAGATTAGTATCAAGAGGAGGAATTTCTCTTTCCCTGATGACTGCTCTAAAAACACCAGAGATAGATTTGTTCCTTTTTAGGTATTTATGGTTTAAATTATAAATCTTACAGCTTAAGTACATTTCTTCTTTTCCGGAAGACTGTTTTAATAGACCTGGAAATTTTCACAAGTCCTCTCCAAACATATTTTTGTCATAAGATCAAAAAGTTTACACACAAATTCTATAGCAGAATCGTGGTTAATAATTTCTATTTTGAGTGAAATGTTTACTCACCTGCAGTACAACTTATTTTATATTCAACCTAATGTATTTTAATCCTGGGACCAGTGGGCAGTATTAATTTGAATGGCTGGGTTGAAAGAATGTCAAAGAACTATTTAAAAATAAATTTACAATACAGTACTTTCACGGTTTGTCATGTGAACTAGAGACTTAAGATTATTATTTGATTCTAACACAAAAAACATCAATTCTTAAAACAGTTTAGATGCGAAGGAAGCAATTCATATGGCTTATACTATTAGTTAAAGTTAACAAAAGAACATGATATATATTCTATCTAAGAGTAACTGTGAAACCTGTACCAATCTGCCATTAAAAACTCGTTTAAAAAATAATTCTTTTAAAGCGATTACTGTTACTATATTCTAAGTATATTTCTTATATACTTACTTCCTGATCCACTAGTGAAATATCTGGTCTCAGTCCCTCGCAATAATGCATGTAACGGAGAGAATTGCCTGGCAAATCTCCTCTGAGTAAGATAATTGCATCACGAGGCATAGAGGCTAGAAGGTTCTTTGCAAATTTATCAATCACGTAGTTGGTCCTTTGGTCACAAATGCTAAATAAAAGGATAAGGAAACATTAAAATAGCAACATACTGCTACAGTTTTAACAAGAATGGGTTTATTTTCTGCTGCAGTCTTTTCCCATCACACACTCTACATGTAGTGCTTCAAAGTATTCTAATTTGTATCTTCTAAGAAGATGCATATATTTGAAAAAAGGATGCCATCATCTGAAAGAAAAAGAGAAGGGACTACTTGTGCAACTAAATGAAAATCAGTGTACTGCTTTACTTCTGGAGTTTATCATCATTTCTATAAAAAGGGAACTGGTTAGTGCTCAAGAATAAGTCCTTTTTTTCTCACCTAAAAGGACATCTAATTTCACTAAAAAGAAGTAAGGCTTCTGATTTCACTTGAAATTCAAGGTAATTGCATGTCAATTCCATTTAGACCAAAGAGATTTTCAGAAATGCAAAAGGAAATCTGCCAGTTTCTAGCATAACTTTGTATAGCATGCATCTGACTCTCTTGCATGCAAGCTTGAGCCTTTCCACCACTTCCCCAAACCACAGGCTCCCTGTGGTCCTCTCTCCCTTCTAGATGGAGAAGTCATTAGAGAATGAGACCAATAAGAAGGAAGGGAAGGAAGAGTTGGCGGAGTTGTTTACTTCTCTCCAGGCATTTTTTGCGAATGCGAACAACAGCAGTACAACTCCTTTCAATGACAGAGTGGACATTCTGACTTCAAAGAAAACTGGCATGAACTCTGAGAGCTTCCCATGAAAAAAAGAAAAAGACTACAAGAGAGTAAAAGCATCAAAAAACGGAACAGGCATTGTCCTTCCTGTTATTATCAGGTCTGTTACATGTAATGGTTCTAAGAAACACAGTCTAAAGTTGAATCACTGGGCTAGCATCACAAAGCAAATGAACACTGCTAGGAACAAAATATTCACCCCTGTCTTTGTGATTGATGCAACTGCTTCCTACTGTGATTCCCTACTTTGCAGGGTGATGCCTCACATTCTGCCACCTAGCAAAGTTGCTATCTATTCCCCTGGGACAAACACAAGAATCAAAACAATATAAAACAGCCCAGCCTGTACAAGCATCCCTGGTGTTGAACCTGGCTTGCCCTGAAGACCCAAGTCAGAAGCCTGGGATAAAACAAACTTGGGAAACACGGTGGGCTTTGCAGGCCCTTGTTGAGCCAGCTATGGAGTTGTATCTGGGACATGCATCCCCTTTCCAACAGACCTCTTGGTGATAAGAGCGTCCTAACACTGGCTCTACCCTGGTATTATAAAGCACATCAGTTTTTAAAGTTAAGTTGAAAGGGGAAATTCAAGCGCCTGGGTGGCTCAGTAGGTTAAGTATCCGAATCTTGGTGTCTGCTCAGGTCATGAACTCAGGGTCCTGAGACTGAGTCCCTGCATCGGGTTCCCTGCTGAGTGCAGAGTCTGCTTGGAATTCTCTCTCTCCCTCTGCCCCTCCTCCCACTTGTGCTCTCTCTCTCCCTCAAATAAATAAAAAAATCTTAAAAAAAGGGGGAGTACTGAACCTTTTAAAATACCAATCAAATCTCACTACAATGAAATTCCAGTGGACTCTTCCGCTGCTGTAATGTTTACTCAATACTGCTGGAAATAAATGAACTATCATCTAAAACTTGGACATGTTTTAAGCCAGACTGATTTTCATTGGCAAGGTTATTCAACAGATTTTGAAAAATATATGTAATATTCATAATGCATAAGGGTTAAGGAACTTTTAGAACTTTAATTATTTCAAAATAATTAATACTCACTGCTATGGAGGAAACTAGATAAGGGCCAGGTGTCACTCAAAAGATGAAATCTTCAAAGCATAGAGGAGAATTATTTTAGGACATACAAAAAGGCCCAAATGTCTTTACTCTCCATCTAAGTGGTATTTTAGATCACGGACTTTTATTACATCCTCCAGATCCTACCAAGTATCTCTAGGATTCCTTAGAGGAAAATATACAAATAGTTTATATGTCCCACCCAAGCCCTTGTTTGCAATGCCCTGAAACCACACATCGCTCATGCTGAGATTCTGTTCAAAAGTTTAAGCAGCGCTGCATTCAGACTCAGCTGTCTCACTCTGAAAACCAGGGGAGGTTAAAGGTGAAATAAAGCCCAAGACTCTAAGTATCTAAGTGTTTCTTGCTTGAGTGCTACTTTTCATAAAAATAAGCACGTGTTACCTGAAATTAGAATATATTTGGTAAATTATAAAAAGAGCTGCTGAAAGCCATTCCAGACACTGAAGCCCACTGGTGTTCAGCACTCGGTTACTCTCAGAAGCCAGCGTTGCCAAACCGAGGCCAGCGAGGACGGCCACCACCGCGTTGCTCTGCATCCAGAATCTCTCCACCTGTGACAGAGGCGTGCAGACAGGACATCCAGCTGACTGGTTTAGGCCATCAATCGGGTACTTGTCTATTTAACAAATACATCGTGTACCCCTAGCCGCTCAGGCCCGCGGTCACTCAGGTCTCGTTTGCGGACTTCCCCAATCCAACTCCGTGTCACTTTATTTTTCCATTTTCAAATACTTCTCATTTCCAGTTTGACACACGAATCTCCCTTTTTTGGGTCCACACATTCTTTTCAATGCTATGGCGTGCACCTTGAACTCCTGCCACTCGAGAGGAGGAGGAGATGGAGAAATGCTTTTGCTTTACTCCTTAGCCCTCGCTTCTTCCGGTAAGACTGCAGGCACTGAGCGGAACGGGAGTCTGCGACCCGGTTGTGGGCCTGCATGGCCGGGCCCTTTCCCTCTCTTCCTCTCTGGGAAGTGATCCACCCACAGGACGCACGCATCCAGGGTCAGAGCCCGTCCTTGTGGCGGGTGTGGGGTGGGGAGGGGCCTGCCCTGTGCAGCCCTGCCTGTGACCAGGGGTGGGGGTGGGGGGTAAGTCCGTCCATTCCGGGACGCAGTATGAGGAAGCCCCCTTGGCCACAGATAGAAACTACCTTCTCCATTCTCAGCGTTCTCAGTATAAAGGGGATTCACCTGTTGTAGTTGTCCTGGTTTATCTCGTTTCTCAACTGACTCAGAACTCAGATGATCAAAAAGGGTATTATTATTTACTAGGCCTCTTGAACATACACATAGAAAAGAGTTGGCTTTAGCCATTGAAAAGGAGCTGTCTACATTTATGGTTTCTACTACAAAGAGAAGAAATACCCTAATCTCAGCAGTGGCAGCCAGGGGAAAACAGAAGCGTGGTCACTCTTTTGCACAGGCCTGAGACTGCTGAGGTAAAAACTAGCGGAGTGTGTGGGTAAGAGGCCCAGCTATGACCTTTATTTCTTTATTGTTTTTTAAAAAAATTCCAGGGGATCTGCAGGAGTACTTGTATCTGTAAGCACACACATAAAATAACTAACTTAAAACTACCTTACGGGTATTTTTCTACCTAACTATTGTGTTAACTAAATGTTGCATTTTTTCCCCCTAAAAAAAGGCCTCAGTCTTACTGGTTCAAGAATTTAACTTTCGATCTGTAAAAATGTATACACAATGTTAGCTCTTTCTGTGATCAGTTGCTCTTCGACAAGATTCATGAGGACAAATTTGTACACTCTTCACCAACTTTCTGGTCAACGGATAAATCTAAGTAAAACTTACCACACCCATGAAAAGTGGTTTTGAAATATCTAAATTCGCCCTCCAAGCAAAGAACAATGAATAAGTGCAAAACATTCCAGTAAAAAGCCATACCAATGATGGATTCTGTCTGTTCCTATAAAAAAATATGTCCAAAATTATTTATGTGCATGAATATCAATAATAATATTGCATAAGAAAAAAATTAGATCTGTAAAACTTTCTCTTTTTTTTAAAGATTTTATTTATTTATTTGACAGAGAGAGACACAGCGAGAGAGGGAACACAAGCAGAGGAGTGGGAGAGCGAGAAGCAGGCTTCCCGCTGAGCAGGGAGCCCGATGTGGGGCTCGATCCCAGGACCCTGGGACCATGACCTGAGCCCAAGGCAGACACTTAACAACTGAGCCACCCAGGTGCCCCAGAACTTTCCATTTTTAACTAGGGACAAATAAAGATCTCCATTTAAAAAAATCTGAGCTGGAATAAACAACTGAAATATAGGAATCAACTACACACTGTACTATATTACAGACAACTTCACTTGGAACTATGCAGCAAGATATAGAAAGTAAAAATTCAGAGAAGAAATACAAATGATCAATCTTGTTAAATTTAAGGTGTAATTAAACAAATGCAAAACAAAAAAATACTTTCATGCCTCAAAATAATAAAGATTTTAAAACAGCAACTTCAATATTGGTGAGGATGCAACAGAATGAGCACATATGTGAGTATAATCCTCAAGAAAAATTAATTTGATAATATATATCAAAAGCCTTAAAAATAATCACACTCAGGGCGCCTGCGTGGCTCAGTCAGTTAAGCAACTGCCTTCGGTTCAGGTCATGATCCCGGGGTCCTGGGATCGAGCCCCGTATCGGGCTCCCTGCTCAGCGGGAGTCTGCTTCTCCCTCTCCCACTACTCGTCCCCCCTCCCCCTGCTTGTGCTCTCTCTTTCTCTCTCAAATAAATAAAATCTTTAAAAAAATAATCACACTCATTGACCCAGTAATTTGACATGTAGGCATAAATCTTTAAGCAAAACCAGAAATGTGGATAAAGATTAATCCATAAAAATGCTTTAATATTATTTATAATAGAAGTGGAAGCAATCTGAAGATTCCCAAACAGAAAAACACTTCACTTAATTCTCCTAGGTCAGAGAATGGAATTTTATACAGACATTTAAATGACCTTCAGTCTTTTTATGATAAGGGTGCATGCTCATAATATAATGTTAAGTGTCAAGGAAACAGAACTATAAATGTGTGTACATATATAAATTTACATAAAACACTCAGATTAGAGGGTAAATGGACAAAAAATAATTAATAGAGGTTAAGAGTGCTATATTTTTTAGGTTTTCTTTTATCATCAGAGGTAACTTCTTCCGAGGAATTCAAATAGTTGTTTACTTCTTTTGCAATGCAATAATGAGTAGCTATGGGCACAGTTAGGGATCAAAACAGAAGTTTAAGACATCAAATGACTTGTTTACTTAGATTGTAATATACTGCTCAATCTTCCAAAATCATTAATTTATTATAAGGAAAAAAAAAACCTAGGAAGAAAGCAATACACATTTGCTGTAACAGAAGTGATTAGAGTCACTAATTTGGAATATAAAATAATACTGGCAATGTTCTCCAATGGCATATTAAAAATATGAATTGAATTAATGAATATGGGAAAAAGAATAGGAAAAGAAATTATATTACTCACTTTCTTGCTAAACATATATTTGCCCAAACTGCGAGGGCTTGAATGTTGAGTGAGAGTTGGGTCCTCATACTTGTTACTTGAGAACTGTAAAAGACAATCTAACTTATCATGGGTAGAAAACAAACTTGGTTAGATCCAAATACAACATTCTTTGTAAAATACATCTGATTATGCACTGAGTAGTTTTAATGGCTGGAGGCAGATGTTAAAATTATTTTGTCTTCTTTTATTTTCATTTATTTATTTATTTATTTATTTATTTTTTAAAGATTTTTATTTATTTATTTGACAGAGAAAGACACAGCGAGAGAGGGAACACAAGCAGGGGGAGTGGGAGAGGGAGAAGCAGGCTTCCTGCAGAGCAGGGAGCCTGACGCAGGGCTCGATCCTAGGACCCTGGGATCATGACCTGAGCCGAAGGCAGACGCTTAACGACTGAGCCACCTAGGCGCCCCTACTCTGTCTTCTTTTAAATTTGGGAGAAAAAGTACCATAAGAAAGAGTTAAACAGTTCTAAGATGTTTTCCAATTGTAATATTTGGTTACCAATTTATATTATTTGGGATAGGATCAGAGCAAGTAATTCTTCTGTATTTGTAATGCTGGTATGCTGTATTGATAATATTTTGGATCCCCCAATTGGTTTGGTAAGAAGTCATGTGAAATGAGTTTTTGAACTTCTGTCAGTAGTGTAGACACGGCCTCCTGTGATTTAGCGATTGAAAACAAAATCAATGTGGGGCGCCTGGGTGGCTTAGCTGGTTGAGAATTCATCTCTTGATTTCGGCTTAGGTCATGATCTCGGGGTTGTGGGATCGAGGCTTCTGGGGACTCTCTCTCTCCCTCTCCCTCTGCCCGTCTTCCCCAGTGTGCGAGTGGGCATGTGCTCTCTCTCTCTCTCTCAAAAAAAGGGGTTCCTTGTTTTCTATATTATTTGGTTCAAAAATGTTTAAGCCATCTCTGAGAAATGTATTTTTTTCCTATAATTAAACTAAATTCTTCCATTAACTAATAAGCATTTCCCAAGTGTTATCTGAGTTCTGAAATAGCTCTACCAGTCACCAATTTTTAAAAAAAGAAATGACTCTATACAACCTCTCGAAGAACTTTCTTCTCCCTGCTGGCAATTTTACTGGAGAAAATGTGATGCCATAATTATGGAAACCACACAATGTGTATTTTACTAATGGAGACTCATCTACTATGAGAAGATATTCTTACTCATTTTCAAATACACTTGAAAAATTGATTCCAGCATGATGCCCATTTCAAACCATTCTTCAAAAGGAATGAAGTCAGTTTCCAAATTAATTCTTGGAGATCTGTTGCTTAAATGTAAGCTCTAAAACATGGTCAGTGCCTAGGGTTAGATTCAATAATTTCCTTGTACAGGATTGCAATTTAGAGATATGCATGGGGAAAGAATTTAATTTGCTTGACTGGAAAAGGAGAGATGATTAGGTCCCATCATTTTGAAGGATTTTCTAGTAAGTTAATTTTGAGTTGCTTTTCTCAACACTCCTGTCCTCCTGAAACAACTAAAGACTAGAAATTCTCTCACTCAGTCAGAGGGTGCTAGGGTTATGCCTCCATTCTACATTATGATTTGGTTCGAACAAATAGTGTGGGTGTGAGTGGTCATCACTTTTGTTAAGTCTTTTTTCTAGGCATATCACCTAACTGCTATTACTTCAATATAAAGGAGGCTTTTATGTTCCCCAATAGATGAGTTTTATGTGCAACTTACAACTGAGAACTCTTGAGAGTTCTTTGGAGTTCATGTGGGATTTGTCAAGGCAAAATATACTGCCAATGTCAAATGTGATCACAACCCTATAAGGTAGGTTGAAAAGAACAGGCAGTGAGTCTTCTGGCCTGGAGCAAAGCAGAATAAAATAAAAGCCCACAGACACTGGTAAAGCTGTCGTTGTAACTGAGCTTCCTGATACTTTTTCCCAACCAAAAAGAAAAAGGAGCCACAAAAGTTTCAGTCAGACATTAAAAAAAAAAAAAAAAAAAAAAAATCAGTTGTGAGAACCAACAAAAGGTTACATAAGAATAATTGGTGGCAGGAAAATGTTTTCAAGATACAGTAAAAAATGAAAACCAGTGGGCTAATAAAAAAGTCTGCATATTATGATCCCATTTTTCAAAACAAAAATATAAAAAACATTGAAAGATACAGACAGAAATGTTAATGGATTAACAATTGTGGTTATCTCTACACATAGAATTATAGTAATTTTAATTTTCTTGTTTTTGCTTACCTGGATTTTCTAAATTTTCTATAATGATTATGTATCACATTTAGGGAGCAGGGGAAAGGGACATTTAAAAGAAAAGAAGGAAGGATGGAAGGAAGCAAACAAGCTAGCAAATTAACAAGACAGAAACTGTGAGAACCTATGAACTGCCTCATGTACAGAGTTGAAATATTCTCCCCATATTTTAAAAACGGTTTTCAAATAGTCCTGGGAATCCTAAATGAATAATTAGTTAGGAGATCACTTTAGTATTATAGAAGACTATTCTTCCATAATTTTATATTGAAAATATTATAAAAATAGTACAGGGTTGGTATGGATATTTTTCAAGTTGTCTTAATCTGTGTGGGTTTTAAAGCAAATATTAACCCATTTTTCAAAGAACCCTAGTAGGTAATATAGATGAAATATATTTGCTTAACCGGCTCTAAAAAGGCTGGATATTAGAAATATTTAAGTCAAAAATAGAGCTTAAGAACAGCCTAAAGAAAAAGTCTTAAGACACATTAAATAAATGAAGCTCTAAAGAATTTAAGAACAGAGAGCTCAATCCTAAAAAGAAAAGAATCGAATCGCTAAATGCAATGTTCTAAAATGTCTCTGAAAAAAAGAGTCGAAACCAGAACAAAGGATAAATGATGTATAAAGCAACACTGCATTGGGTCATTTTGTATCCAAATGGAAGTGGAAACGTTCTAGTTTGACAGTCTACTAACTCACTGTTGTATTTATCCCTCACTCTCAGCTTTCTCTTCCTGAAGGAAATGCTAGAATGTTTTGATAGTCCACACAAACAACTAGTGACCATACCCGTGAGAGCCACTTCTCAGACACACTGCTTCACAAAGAAACAATCCCAGAAGCCCCCCAAATCACTTAGTCTAGGAACTGATAGAGAATTCACTTAAAACCAGTTTCAAATATTTCATACTCACAGCAAAATTTTAGACATACTGGATCCTGTTTCAGATTTGGCCTAAACATAAAAGAGAGAAGTTTATTTGCGTAAGCCTTCAACTGCAGCTGTGTTAGGTATTGCATTTTAACTATCCTGATTTAGAATATACGTGTTTTAAGTAGACAATGCAACATCTCTCTTCATTCAGTCTTTGCTTCAGAGCCTTACTGAATTTTTGAAGAGAAGTCAGTGGAAATTAAACACAGACATCCCAGAGGAAGAAGTGCAGAAATAATGATGGGCTAAAAATCAGTTAAACTAGTTCCAGCAGGAACGATTAACACATTGATGAATTAACAGACTTTACACTTTTGTTGTAGACTGTCTTTAAGGCACTTTGATTAGAGCTCATTACCACATGTTAGTCTATAATTTCACAATTATGTGTGAATTACACAAATTTCAAATCTGGAGTGGCCCTCAAGCATTATTGTAACGGAATAACCAATGTAAGTAAGCCAGAGTTTAAGCTGAAAGTATCAAACTCTCTAATTCAAAAAGTAATTAGTAATTATCCTTTCATTAAGCTAGTTTATTATGAAATATCTCCTACAAACAACACATATAATGTATATTTAAGGGATAAAGAGTTTTTAAAAATCTATAGAGCTGCCATTCACTTAAGAACAGAACTGCATGAATACCATAAAGTATCTCACAAAGCATTCACAGACCTCCCTTTTCTCACCCCCAGTGATAACTATTACCTTGAATTCTGTGTTAATTACTCCCCTACTTTCTAAAAATATATAGTTCTTCTTTTATATGTACCTTGAGCAATAGATTGTTTACTTTTTGCATGGTTTAGAATTTTGTATCAATGGTGTCATATAATACATAGTCTTCAGAGATTTGCCTTCTTGCATAAGACACAAAAAGCACAAACCATGAGAGAAAAATCCGATACAACTGTTCTTTATTAAGGTAAAAAAAAAAAAAAGTTTGTCCTTTTATTTTTCAGATAACCTTTACTCTAACCACATTCAGTGTTTTTTCCCTAATTTATGTTTCAGGGAAAACAAGGCCTTTTGAACTTAAAAAAAACACTTCTAGTGAAATTTTATCTTATAAAGTACTTACACATACGTATTACACTAAAGACTATCATGAACACTATTTGTCAAATATGAAAAAAGAAAGTGTTTTGGTCAATGTAAATTAAAAATTTTGAGGTTTTTTTTTTTTGATTCTTCAATCTTTTCCAAATATTTAAAATCACAGACCAAGGGACGAAAGTGATACCCAATACTAAGAAGAATGAAGTGTTTTAAATGCTGGCAAAAGAGTCTTTTTAATGTTTGTTATCCTGAAAAACATACTTGGGATATACAACATTATGATGTCAGGTTAAGTGATTCCACGTTTATAAGGAGCAAGTTTGTTACACAGATAATGGAAATGAAAATTCTATGTACTGTCATTGATAGATATTATTTTTTTTCAGTCAAGGCCCAGGCAAAACACTGAAGTTTCACCACTTCCTTCCTTAAAAGGGCTTTAAATATAAATTTACCAGACTGAATGTTCCATATTCTTCCCTGAGCAAATGCGTCAAAAATCCTAGCAACGTTGTCTGGTCTCCCCAGGTCCAACGGGCTTGATTGAGATAGGATGAGATAGGAAGGTAGACGTAAGGCAATAAACCAGCAGAGAAGTACAGACTCAACTTCAACAGAGAGCCCAGGGAGAGTTCCTGCACCAAAGCATATTGTATTGTGTAACAATGTTTATTTTTAGTCCATTCATCCTGGAACTTCAAGAACACATCAAGAAAAACATCAAAATGTTTACTCAGAGCTGATCTCTCAGTTTCTACTAAGTCACCACAGAATACTATGTTAAACCTTCTGCGTACTATGGATTACTAGAAAACTGCATCAGCCTGAACTCCTTTGCATGGCAGGTGAAATCTGAGTGAAGCAAATAATATTAGGGGCAACTCTGGAGTATCATTGTTTATATTTAAAACCATGTCATGACATGCAGCATTACATGGCTGGGATAACACACGTGGGAGTGACTGTTTGGCTGATTTTGAATATACCCCAAATACTGTTCCAGTACAATTCCCTTCATCACCATCACCAGGAGTAGACTTCAACTATATTCTCTATTATGATTACACACTGACAATATGATACTTTGCCCAAGGGTTTTGGATATTTCATGGAAATATGTGTCACAAATGAAGCTAGCTTTTAAATAACCTCCCAGTTCATCCAAATGCTCTTTTTCCTCAATGTACATATAGGAAGGAGTACTGATAGAAATTTGTTCTGTATAACAATGTTGCCTCATAAGAGTGTATTTCTCATCTGCGCATAACTTTTTTTTTTTAAGATTTATTTATTTATTTGAGAGAGAGAGAGAGCAAGGAGGAGGCAAAGAGGGAGAGGGACAAGCAGAATCCCTGCTGAGTGCGGAGCCTGACACAGGGATCAATCACACGACCCTGAGATCATGACCTGAGCTGAAATCAAGAGCTGGATGCTTAATCGAGCCACCCAGACACCCCCTCATCTGCACATTTCTAAAATAAAGGACAATGTTGACAAAGTCTTATAAAGATTACACCCAAAAGAATTCTGGTATACTAAAAGATTCAAATAGTGGTTGCTTTAGTAGTTGGGAAAGGGGGTCTCTTCCAAATATCATAATTGGCAATTGCCAACTTTTCCTTTACAAAAAAGGAAAATTCATATGTGACAATGACTACAAGAACCAAGGTTCACATTCACCAGAAGGAGAACAAGCAGTTGACTTATATTAGCATTTTCAAATAAACACTCTTAATTGAAAATAGAGTGTTTTTACTAGAGTACTGATTTCATTTGATATTTCTAAAGTGGTAATGAGATGCATAAAAATAATGGCATGAAAAGAGTATAAGAAATAACTTGAGCAACATGCCTTTGCTATTCTTAAAAGTAGTTTTAAATAAAGCAAATGTTTATATTTTGACAGTTTCTGCCTGTTATAAAGTTCAAGTTAGAGTGGCACGATGCAACTGCCGGAGAATGTTCCTTTTGTGTGAGAAATCAACAAGGAGACAATTACATGAGAGTTTTTTCAGAGAGTGCAAGAAAGTGGCTCTGAGTCCTAGCTGTACGTACATTAGAATCACCTGCAGAGCTTTTCGAAAATATCAATGTCTGGGCCTCACCCTAGACCAATTAAATCAGAATTATTTTGGAGTGGGGTCAGCATAAATATACATACCTATATACAAATATATGGATATATATACACATGCATTCACAAATGCACACACATACACATACTTTTTAAAAGCTTCCCAGATCATCTGAGTAGCCAGGGTTGCAACCAACTGACTCAGGACTTCTTACTCTGCCTCAACTCATCTGACCAGTGAGATCCAACTACTCTGTCACTTCATTGGTAGGCCTTATTTTCTAGCCTCTGCTATTTAACTAGAGAAAATGAAATGTCCTTTGAGGAGTCATACTTCGCCAAATTGCATCATTCATCAGTAGCTGACCTAAGTACAGAATAAACAGGCTCTCAGACCAGGCTCCTACCTTGTCCACTCTGAGTCCTGCATGTTTTATAAAAAGCATATGGCTCTTCTTTCAATTAACTAACACAAAATATTTACTTTTTAAGTTCTTGTCAGTCAATGCACCTCTCTATTATCTGAATGAAACTTCTCTGATGTCAGAAGCCCGTCTAGGAATAAGGTCATCAAGATGGCAACATAGATCATTCCTGACTTCAGTCTTCCTTACCAGAAGACCAGCTAGCAACTATCTATGGACGAGATATCACTGTGAAGAATCCCAGAATTCAGGGGTGAGGATAAAGCACACCTTGGACCATACAGACTGAGAAGAACCACATTAGAAATAAGAAGGAGCACTCTGACTGCATCACTCCTCCCCCATGCCAGCCCAGCTCTGCACTAACAGAGCTCCCCTGGGGTGACAGTTTTTCCAGTGGGAAAAGAGACTCCAAGGTGGACAACCAGCTCCCCCAGCATGGCAGGACACTTCCCAGGAGGCTCATTTGGTTCTCACCTCTTGAGAGGTGGGAGGAAGGGGTCGGCTCAACCACTGGGGATCACACAGGAGAAGGGAAGCAGGGCTTCCGGCAACCAGTGCTCAGATCTGGAGGACTGTGTTCTTGCTCGCAGCTGTGCCCAAGCAGAGATCCCAGCCAGCTCTTCTGCCCATCTGCTGAGCTGAGCCGGTAGCTGATCCCACCCTAAACTAATTCTGATTTACTTGATCTGGGGCATACTTTAACATAATAAAGTCCACATATGACGAGTCCATAGCTAACATCATACTCAACAGCGAAAGACTGAAAGCTTTTCCTCCAAGATCAGGAATCAGACAAGAGTGCCTACTTGGTATTACCAACTCCTGTTCAACACAGTCCTGGAAATCCTAGTCAGAGTATTCAGGCAAGAAAAATAAATAAAAGGCATCCAAATATGAAAAGAAGAAGTAAAACTGTCTCTATTTGCAGATGACACAATCTTATATAGAGAAAATCCTAGACTCTACCAAAAAACTGTTAGACTAATAAATGAATTCAGTAAAGTCGCAGGGTGTAGAAACACAACTAATTAATACACAAAATTAGTTGTGTTTCTACACACTAACAATAAACTATAAACTGTCTGGAAAAAAAAACAGAAAATGATCTCATTTATATTAGCATCAAAAACAATAAAACACCTAGCAATAAATTTAACCAAGGAGGTGAAAAATCTGTACACTGGAAACTACAAAGCATTGATGAAAGAAATTGAAGAAGAAACAAATAAATGGAAAGATACCCCTTGTTCACAAATTGGAAGAATTAATATTTTTTAAGTGTCTGTATCACACAAAGCCATCTATAGATTCATTGAAACCCCTATCAAGATTCCAATGGCATTTTTTTTAAGGATTTATTTCTTATTCATTTTGAGAGAGTGAGAATGAGAGAGAGAGCGAGTACATGAGAGGGGGGAGGGTCAGAGGGAGAAGCAGACTCCCCGCTGAGCAGGGAGCCCGATGCGGGACTCGATCCCGGGACTCCAGGATCATGACCTGAGCCGAAGGCAGTCGCCTAACCAACTGAGCCACCCAGGTGCCCTCCAATGGCATTTTTAACAGAAATAGAAAAACAAATCCTAAAATTGATATGGAACCACAAAAGACCCCCAAACAGCCAAAATAATCTTGCAGAAGAGGAATGAAGCTGGAGGCATCACACTTCCTAATTTCAAACTACATTATGAAGCTATCATAATTAGGAGTTCAAGGTGGTGAGGTAGGAAGATTCTGAACTCACCTCCTCCACAGACACAACAAATCTACAAAGACCTAAAAACTATCTGAACAAGTGCCTCCATAACAAAGAATAAAAGGGCCACATGAAAATGTGTGGGAGAAACAGAGACATGGTCTCACCGAAAACCCCAACCTAGTGCTGTAACCCACAGTTAGGAGGGATCTCATAAATATAGGACTTCTTCCTGAGGAGCAAGGGGTTTGTGCCCCCACGTAAGGCACCCCAAGCTTTGGGTCCTGCACCAGAGAGATGATCCCCCACCAAATGTATGGTTTTGAAAGCCAATAGGTCAAATGTTCAGGAAAATTATAGGGCTGTAGGGGACAGAGACTCTGCTCTTAAGGACTTACAGACAGACTCACTCGCCCCAGAACCTGGAACAGAAGCAGCAGTCTGGAAAGTGCTAGACCATAAGTGAAGAAGATTCATTTGCTAATCTTAAAATGTCTGCTGTAAGGGGAGAAGCCTGGTAGAACTCTCTCTGGGGACAGAGATGCTGGAGGGTGCCACTTCTGGCATTCTTCCTCTATCTTGCTAGTGCCAGTGAGTGTGCCCACTCCTGTGTACCACTCCATTGCAGCTCTGTCACAGCCAGCCAGGCAAATGCCCAACCTCACATACCGCTCCACCACAGCTCCACCGAAGTCAGCCAGGGTGCACAGCCCACAAAGGGGATGCCCCTTAAGTGCCTGGATCTGGTGGTCAAGGGGAATTGCATTTTGGGGTCCTATGGGTCTAAAACAACTGGAAAGACAGTTCTTGGCAGGTTACCATCCCCAAGGGACTGCACTGACAATAGACTGAAACAACACCCCCTGGTCTTCCCGTGAAAAAACTTCAGCTTGAAGGGCAGGTTTCAGGTTTACCACACGTCTAAAGGCTAGAGAAGTGCTCTCCGGGAACACAGGCTGACGGATACCATCTTGGAGCTCTCACCTGGCCTCACCACAGCTTGTTGGCACCTCCCAGGAACAAACTTGTACACTCATCTGGAACCCTGAATCTGCAACAATCCCTAAAGGGAGACCCCCCCCGCCCAGATCACTTGGTCTGGAGGCTAGTACGGTCTATGATTGCAGTCTCCCAGGACTGTATCTATTTGCATACCTTAAAGATGCTGACTGAGGGGCTAGTTTCCAATCAGTGTAAAATTAGGTGCTGATGAGATCCCTCCCTCTGGAACACTCACAAGTCTTGACACAATAACTAGAACCTACCAAGAGAAACTCAGGCTGGTTAGACAATCATAAAGGTTTGAGAGACAGCCAAGAGCTACAGCAAAGTAGCTGTAGCTACTTTGATGTGAGGTTCATCTCCTACACAGGGCCACTCCTCCAAGACTGGGAGAGACAGCTATTTTGCCTAATACACAGAAACAACCACAGAGAGTCA